CTCTGATTATGAGACAGTCATTGAAGCTGATTTCTCTGACTACATAACAGAAGAAGTAATATTATAATATGATAATAAAAGTATTCTACAATCATGTATTTTCATATCTAAGAAACTGAGTCCTGCTGAATGCAATTATAAGATCTATGATAAGAAACTTCTCACAATTATACACTGTCTAGAAGAATGAGACTCTGAACTTTAAAGTGTCTTCAAATTTGAGATAATCACAGATTATAAGAATCTCAAATACTTTACAATAATTTATAAACTTACTGAATAATAAATGCAATGATCAGAGTTTCTAAGTTACTTTCATTTTATAATACACTATCACTCTGACAGTTAAAACTTAATGACAGATACTCTCTCATAATAAGAATAAGATATACTATTCAATGTAATAGATACACACTGAATAAATCAAGAACACTGACTCTTGAATCTGAAGATATTAGTTGATTATAATAAGATTACTCATGATACTATATATACTTCACTGATCAGAACATTCTCTGAATCTACACTGAATAAATTATAGCATATAACAGCTCAAACTGATGAACTTCTTTAAGTACTCACTGAAGCAGTATATCAAGAAGCACTCTAATTTCTCTCAGAACTATGTATAAGAACTGATATCTCAGAATATTCAATTAATAATAATAATACTCTACAATTCTATGAATAATACTGAGTCTCTCACTTCAAACTCTTACACATCTGAATAATGTAAGAGATGTATGATTTACATATAACTGATTATTCAGACTATAAATAACTATATAAAATAATCTTCTAAGAGTTCTACTAATCTGAGATATTAAACAGTATCAGATACTTCATTCAAAACTATAATTATTATTCTTTCATCATCTTATGAGAGAACTGTAGAAAAGATCTGCTGAAACTGCTTAATATCTCTGATAGAATCTAATAAAATATAGTAATTGACTTCACTATTACTCTCTCTGAGAGTAAGAGTTATAGAAATATTCTAATCATTATAAATTAATTAAGTAAAGATATAATATTGAAATCTTGTAATAAGATAAATACTGAATAAGTTACTGAAGCTTTTCTACAGAGCTTATTCTATTAAATATATAAATTACTGAGATCTATAGTATCAGATCAGAGCTGTTAATTTATAAGCACTCTCTGAATAAGAATCTATCAAGTTCTCAAGATTATATATTATCTGTTAACTGTCTATCATTCTGAGACTGATAATATATTAGAACAGATAATTTAGACTGTAAAGAATTATCTTTATAAGTTCTGTAATTACTTATAAGATGATTGATATGATCTGCTTCTATACACAGAGATCACTATCAATGAATAAAATGTTATTTTAATAGATATAAGTCTGTTCTTTCTTACACACAGTTATTACATGAAGATATTGAATCTTCTAGAGATCACACAGTTTATATCAAATTCTCACAGTCTGATTCAGATTATCAATAATATAGTAACAAAGCTCTGAGATGTCTGTGACTGAGCAGAGATCTTCATAATAACTGTAAAACAAGATTAAGAGAATTAAATCAATGTTCACTGAGATTCTGCTGAATAATATAAGACAGAAGACTTGATATAGTTGAATCTTAAGAATATACAGATCACATATTCATCTTATATACTGAATTATCATTATATTAAGTATAAAGTAATAGAAGTTCTAGATAGTTACAACTATTATCTTAACATATTATCAGAGATTTATAATGTCTTTTATACAAGCTTACTCTGTCATGTCATCACTGACCTGTTCTCTTCTCAACTGACTTTCAACTGACAGCTGCCAGGCATTATAGAAGAAGATAATGAGCTTGAGTAAGAGATTGAGAATATTCTTGATAAGAGACTTCACAGCTGTAGCTGATAATATCTCATGAAATAAGTCAGCTATAATCAATCAATCTGAACTCTGAGTTCTGTGTTATTTAAAACAGTAGTTCTTGACTGATGAGAACTGCTTCTGAAAGAGAGACACTAATGTAACAGACTGTACTCAATCAATTATATAGACTATTTCATTACACTTCACAGATTTCAACTGCTTCATTCTTGAATGTGTATACTCTGATTCTCAGCTGCTATAAATATGTACAGATTCTTCACTTCATTCTCAATCACTAATTCTCAGTTATTATTAATATGTATAGATTCTTCCGCTCTGAAGTCTCACTGTATACATTATCACATATATGTATAAATATTCACTTTAATTACTGATTCTCACACTTTCTCTTTCTTTTCCTTCTTTAATGTTTTTCTCTTTGTTATATAAGATCTATATATTATACTGATTTATTCAGTGTAGACCTCTTACATTTTTAATCAGAAAAATAAATTTATAAATTTATAAAAAGTAATTAAATTGAATTTTCAGAGCTCTGTTAAAGTGTTTATAAATACATAATACATTATACACTGTTAAAGAAATCTGATAATATTATAATTTTTACTGATTTAATTACTATTTATTCACTGAATCTATTATTATTTAAGATTTCATATTTCAGATTAGTTATTAAGTTAAATAAATATTTACAGAATTAACTGTATATTTTTATATGTAATTTTCTATATATATTTTTATTATATAATATATCACTTTAAAATCTAATTTCATTGTTAAGATATTATTGAAAATATTTCATCATAGTAATAGAAAAATGATAGGTGTTAAGTATAAGTATAAACTGACTGCTGAGATTATAAATTTCATATTTAATTTCATTTAATCTGATTTCATACATTTCTTAATATAAATCTCACTGAGACTAATTATTAAAAAAGCATGCAAAGTGACTATATATCAGATCTCAAAATGAAATTATAACTTGAAAAAAATAAGAAAGTAATTTCATTTGATTTCATTTAGTCTCATTCTTAATATAAAGTTACTATTTTTAGACATTTTAAGGTTTTTTTTAGACTATTTTTAATTTTTTAAAAAGTAACACTTTTTGATAATACTTAAATAAGATTTAAAGTCATTTAAAGCAGTAAAAATAATTTAAATTAAGAAGTGAAAATCAGTCTCATTTGAAAAATGTGACAAGAGTAGACAGTAAGTCTCACTGAAACAGTATAGAACTACTATTTAATGTTAAAACTATGTAATAAGATTAGTTAAATTGATAATAGAACTATTAAAAATTCTGATTCTGATCTCAGACATGATCACATAGTCAGTCTATATAAGCAGGTGTTAAGTGATTGATCACACACTATCTCATAATGAATAAAAACACAAGTATAACATAGATTTTCTGAAGTTTTACTCTCTTTTCTATTTAACTCAGCTACTTTCATTTGTGCTTTTTTTTTTTTTTTTTTTTTTTTTTTTTTATTTTTCCCCTTTTACAAGGCAACCTTAGACTGACCATTGTGCTAGATTCACAAAATATGAAGAAAAAGAATAAAAGGGAGAAAAAAATAGGAGAAACCACTTTTTTATGAAAAAAATATTACAAAACAATTAACATAAAATGCAATGCAGAAAAAAACATGACAGGGAACAAATCTATGATCATTAGAGATGAAATGAATGTTTCAAAAGTCACATTCGAAATAGCAAAAAATTAGGTAAGAAAACCTCAAGGGGGAAAAGCACACATCGGCGAGGTCCATGGCACTAAAATAAAAGGTAGACGTAAAAGCGTAGTAAAATGGAGGGGAAGAACGGGACTAGATAATATATAATCTAGCAGGATCGCTAGAGATGACAGCTGATCATGAGGGGAAAGTAAATGTGATTTTGTCGATTTGGCTGTTCCCATGGGGGAAGAAGTAGGGGGAATCAGGGGAAAAAAAAAGAAAAAAAAAGGATTCATTGATGAAATCAACAAAATGAGACAAACACAGAAACATGTTAATAAAAGACGGGAAGAGCAATAAAGGACATGTCAATAAGCGCAGGTAAAATAAAAAGGAAGGAAAAAAAACACACAAAACCAGAAGAATTTTCTTTAGTTAAAAAAAAGGGAAAAAAAAAGAAAATCACATAGAAAAAATCAAAGAAATGACTTGAAATCATTTATCCAGCTCCGCTCTCAAGCGTTCACTGATGATACGATCAATCCGTTTCCTGTTCTTAAAATTGAACGCACCATTCCGCCATGCACAGCGCAGCTTCCTGAAACGTGGGCCTTTCCTTTTTTCGCTGCCTCCAGTTCAGACTCCACAGCTGGACCAGGTCCTGCGAGACCATGTCAGGCATAGGTCTAATTGCTCGCAGATACCGCCAATCATAAAACTTGATGATGCTGTTG